GTGCCTGCTCATCTTAGCTGCTATGATGCCTGACAGGAGCTTCCATGTTGTGCAGAGGCAGGTTATTGGGCGGTAGTTGGATGGTACTGCTCCCTTCTGAGGGTCCTTCAGGATCAGGACTGTCCAGCCTTCAGTTAACCACTCAGGGTGGATTCCATCCATTAGTAGCTGGTTCATTTGTCCTGCCAGGCGCTCATGGAGTGAAGTTAGCTTCTTTAACCAGTAGGTGTGGATCATGTCAGGGCCTGGTGCTGTCCAGCTCTTCATACTTGAGACCCTCTCTTGAATGTCTGCCATTGTGATGATTACTGGGTCTTGTGCAGGGAGGTTGCTGTGGTCTGCTCTTAGGTCCACCAGCCACTGGGCATTGTTGTTATGTGATGCCTCGTTCCCCCATGTGCTCTTCCAGAACTGTTCAGTCTCCAGCCTTGGTGGGTCTGCTCTCGTGTTTATTACCCTGCCACTGAGAGTACACCTTGGGTGGCTCAGTGGAGAACATTCGGTTTATTCTCCTGGCTTCAACTTCTCTGGTGTACCTCTTCAGCCGGGTGGCTAGGGCTGTTAGCCTTTGCTTGGCAGTCTCAAAGGCCTCAGGTATGGACAATGAGTTGTACTTCTTAGGTACCCCTTTCTTCATCACGCCTTTCTGCAATTCCGATAGCTGGCTAACTTCTCTCCTTGCTGCCTTGATCTTGGTCTCCAAACTCCTTCTCCATGGAGGATACTGCTCCTTATAGCCTTTGTTGAACTTATAGCCAAGCATCTCAAGGATGACAGCTGCTGTGGTGTATATGAGCTTGTTGGTCTCAGTGATGATCGTAGTAGAGATTGTTCTTAGTGCTGCATTCACATCCTCTAGTACTTTCAGAAGGCACTTCACTTTCTAAGGCCTCAGGTATGGACAGTGAGTTGTACTTCTTAGGTACCCTTTGTTCATCATGCCTTTCTGCAATTCTAATAGCTGGCTAACTTCTCTCCTTGCTGCATTGATCTTGGTCTCCAACCTCCTTCTCCATGGAGGACACTGCTCCTTATGGCCTTTGTTGAACTTATAGCCAAGCATCTCAAGGATCACAGTTGCTGTGGTGTATATCAGCTTGTTGGTCTCAGTGATGGTCGTAGTAGGGATTGTTCTTAGTGCTGCATTCACATCCTCTAGAAGACTTTCAGAAGGCACTTCACTTGTTAACTGACTACGGGAGTTCCAGGTGTCCATCTTGCTCATGATCTTCAATCTCAGGTCAGCTGCTCTTGAATCAAGCTCATCCGGGCCTGTTACTGGGGCTTGGTACCCAATCTCCAATTGTGGGGGTGATGATGATGATGATATCTCCCCCCTGACCTGTCGTCCTGGCTCCCCCTTGTTGGAGCATTTGTGTTGTACCTTGTCAATCTCTAGTTGTGATAGCAGGTACTTCTTGCAGATGTTAGAGCACCGAGCTACTAATTGTTTCGATGTTAGTCTAGATGTTGGGATTCGAAGTATCCATCCTCCATATGTAACCCCTCTCGCTGGGGTTACTTGTATAGTAGCATTCCAGTAGTTCCCTGTTCTCCTCTCTTGTCCATGAATGTCTTGTTCCAGTAGCCCACTTCTCATCAGGTTGCCCTGGTTCCTCAACACCTGACGCAGACCTTGTTGACCCGGGCGACGTCCGAGCCGGTGTGACTCTTATTTTTCCAACTCTCATTACCCCATGAGGTAGGCATATATAATATTTTTTTCATACATATATATGTCCTGTGTATGTTGATATATATAAACATACTGTGGATACATGTGGATACTGTATAGTATTATAATCCTAGTAGGAGAGTGATGGAGAGCAGAAGTGTAATTAGTCTTCTGATATTTCAAGGCAACATGTTGTGTCTTGTTGCTTTTCTTTTCTTTCTCTCTCCTCTATCCACTCACCCCAACTGGTTGAGGCAAAAGGCCGCCCACCAAGAGCCGGTGTCTGTCAGAGGTTTCTTCTGTTAAAGGGAGTTTTTCCCTCCCTGCTGTCGCCAGGTGCTTGCTCAAGGGGGACTTATTGGGTTTTCCTTATAAGGTCTAGACCTGATTATGTACAGTGCCCTTAGACAATTGTTGTTGTGAATTGGCGCTATACAAATAAACTGAATCGAGTGTATTAAAAATACCACAGCTGCAGCTGTGCTCATTTACATCATCAGTTTTGGTAAATATGCTGCTAAACTGAAAATTTACAGTGCCGCAATATTTTGTGCACTTGATGGTAATTTGCAACAGGTTCAGTAAATTATCTCCCCAAGCCATTAGATCTATGGTTTTCACTCATTTACAATATTCATATTCTATTCCTTATTTCTATCACTAATCTATAAAACAAGTCAAAAATTTGGACACACTATCTCAAAGTTTTTTTCTTAGTTTTCTACACTAGATTAATACTGGAGACTTAACTACAGAACAATACAAAATGTGCATTTTAGCCTTAGATTTAGTTTAAATTTTAGATTCCTCCAATTGCCACTGTTTGACTTGATGAAAGCGTTGCACATTATTGGCAATATCATCCCACCTGGCTTGTGCTTTGTAAAACTATCATTTGTTTTTTTTTTCCAACAGGACAATGAGCCAAAACACACTGCCAGGCTGTGTAAGGGCCATCTGAACAAGAAGGAGAGTGATGCAGTGCTGCATCTGGTGACCTGGCCTCTACAATCATCTGACCTAAAACCCAGTTAAGATGGCTTGGGATGAGCCAGACTGTGGAGTGGAGATATAGCAGCCAACAAGTGCTCAGCAAACCCCTTCAAGACTGCTGGAAGTATCCCAGATGACTACCTCATGAAGCTGGTTGAGAATGCCATCAGTGTGCAAGGCTGCTACCAAAGCAAAAGGTGGCAACTTCAAGGAATCTACAACATTTTGATTTGTTTATACCTTTTGCTTACTACATAATTCCAAACATGTTCATAGTTTTAACATCTTCCATATTAATTTACAGTGTAAATAGAAAGATAACTATTAAATAAGAAGGTGTGTAGATTTCTCTTATCTCATGTTCATTCTACAAATGTCTGTTACTCTTTTGCAAAGTACCGTATCTCATGTAGCTTCACCACCTCATTGACCACCACCACCAGCAGTGAGGACAGAGAGACCAGTAGCCAGGCTAGCAGTGGTATGTCACCCAGCTTAAAGGTCAGGTAGCTGCCCTGGTTGTGCCACAACTGGTAATCCACTGTGGCCTGAACAATCTGACTGAGCAGACTGGGGAGGGAAGGGACAGAGGATTAATTCATTTTATTAATTCATTGTATATATCACATTTCATTAAACTAAAGTTTGTAACAAGCAACACAGCAGGATGTCCTGCACTGATATCGGTGCCAATCCGGGAATATTTTAAAGGATCAGTATTAAATAAAATAAAGCAAGTCCTTCTTTACTTCTTTTACTGCTGTGTCTACACCTGGGAGTCTACTTCTGTCTCTCCTCTCAAGTGCCCCTCCTTTCCTTGCTTCTCTATGTAAAGTTGGGGGGGGGGGCTGCTCTCAGACGTCGAAAAATCTGCCAGTAATGGAGATGGTATGAACAGCACCTGCTTAACAAGCAGAAAACAAACTTGCAGCAGAAATGTAGCATCTTTCCTGCTTTTTTCACGATCAACTTGCTGAAGTCTCCTTTTCATCCCTAAATCAATCTGAGTGTATACACAGAGTGGAGCAGAGAGTCGGAAAATCTGCCAGTAATGGAGATGGTATGAACAGCTCTTGCTGAACAAGCAGAAAACAAACTTGCAGCAGAAATGTAGCATCTTTCCTGCTTTTTTCACGATCAACTTGCTGAAGTCTCCTTTTCATCCCTAAATCAATCTGAGTGTATATTTACAGTCTTACAATGCACAATGTGCAAATTTTAGCAAATTATCATACACTTTCATTTATTTATTTTTTTAATACAGTAATACTACAGTGCCTCTGTGCTTGCCATTGCTGTGCTGTTCATGTTGCTGCTACACTAGCATACCAGCTACTGTCCTCCTCCTCTTGTACATCTCCAGTTTTCTGACCAGGGCCACCAACGTAGGGGGAACACCGGGTCAATCGCCCAAGGCCCTGGGCAAGGGGGGCCCAAAATGGCCCTCTAACCTTTAAATAATCTTCCAGAGTAATTTATTAAGGAGCTGTTCACAGACAACCTGTTGTCCGTGGTGTGTGTGTGTGTGTGTGTGTGTGTGAGAGAGAGAGAGAGAGAGAGAGAGAGAGAGAATGAGTGAGCAGGGCAAGGAGTGGGCTGAGTGAATCAATGCACTGCGCAGATGAAACAGCAAGGGGAAACTGCTCTGTAGTTAATCGTGGACAGCGTCACCGTCTCAGACATAAAAAAATTAATTAAAATAAAAATGGATGGCCAGATATACTTGGGTAGCATAAGATACCTGGGCATTTACATGCACTTAAGTAACCAGGTTACTGAGAGAGGTTATGGCAGAAATCATACGTGTTCGCATGCACGGCAGTGATCAGGTTACTCAAAAACACCAGTATACATGAGCTTACTGAAAGTGGAAAGGCGTTGTATGGGTGCGCCTGTGACTGGAAAGCCTGACATCATTATGCGACTGCATCCTCCCATAAACAAAAATGACCCAGTCGATCAAGCTCGCATTTTGGTCTCTTTAATGTTGTTTCACCTGCAAATCACAACAGTAGCTACCCTTTGTGGAGTTGCTTTGCCTGCTCTGCTGCTCACCACGTTGATAATCATCTGTTTACACTGGTGACAACTTCCTGTTTTTCACCAGTGCACAAGTGACCTTGGAGCTTGTCCTTTGCACATGCATTCTTGTAGAAAGCTGATTAGGAACCTGGTTACATTTATACATGGCAGAGAAACTGTCATTCTCCGTGAGAAATCCACCCGGGGAAATCAGGTTTGTCTAATCCCCTACCCTGATTATTGAAACCAGGTTTCCCATTTGACAGTTAAGAAATCAGCTTACTGGAGAAACCTGATTGTAACCTGGTTACTTCAGTCCATGTGAACACGTTGACTGGCAGAGACACTAAGTTTTGTAGAACTCAATTTGGGGATCAAAACAAAACAAAAAAAAGTTTACCAGGACATCCATAAATGCCTGACCATGTACAATACATGTGACACAGCACTATATTTAAAAACTTGCTGTAGTTACTAGGGATGGACAATTATTTTCGAAAAAAAATATTTTCATGTGACTATGGTTTTGTCTTTTGTCTACCTAAAAATAAAAAGCCACTGTTTTCCCTTGTTTTTACCAGCAGCTAGAAATAATGCAGTAACGAGGTCAGTACTACGGTCCCAACACCAAACAGCAGAAACATGCAGAACTTCTTTGGGAAACTCAACAATCACAAAGATGATAGAGGACATGCTGCTCATCAGTTTCATCAAGGGGGAGGGTTTTCAAAGTTTAATGGCATTTGGTCAGCCGGAGTATACGGTCCCATCAAGAAAAATGCATACTGGATAAACTGTATGATGAAAATGCATGTGAGTCGCGCAGTCGTTTGACGTGTTGAAAAGATGCCTCTGACCACAGATGCATGGCTGACGCTTACAACCGAATCGTATGTGACAGTCACCTGGTATTATATAAACAAATGGAAAATACAGAGTGCTGTTCTTCAGACTGAAGCATTGTTAGAGCAGCAGATTCTCATTCATCCAGGTCATAGTAAGCTGAGAAAAAAAGAAAAAAAAAAAAAAAAAAAAAAAAAAAAAAAAAATATCTCCGGATCTCTGAAATTCTACTGAGAGGGATAAATATCTCCAGCTCAACACCAGTCAGGCAGAACTGATGAAGCCTCTTGGATGAGAGATGAAACATCTTTGACCTAGAAACCTAGTCCATTTTTTTAAAGTTTTTTTCCATTTAGAGCTGCATCCTGCGGAAACCCTGGCAAATGTGCTTCCACTGCCACTTACAGGTGAAGTCACAGCATGTACACTGGGGGTGGGTCTAGGACCTTCAAATAATCGAATAATTTCCAGTGAATATCGAATAGCTTATTTGCTTGAAATGCCCATCCCTAATAGTTACAGCAGCACTATTAACCCACTGCAACAGATATAAACCCAGCTTTAGTCTGTGAATATGCTTACACCACAGGTACAATGAGACACCACCAGGTATTGCTGAAAGGACTCTTTCTCCACAGAGGCTGAGAGCGGTGGACATAGCTGAGGGAGATCACCACTGGAAAATAATTAGCAACCATAAACAAGAAAGGGATCAATTTGAATAATGATTAAAAAATAAAAAGAAAACATGAGTGAGCTTTATGCTGCATACAGTATGTTAGTGTGAGTTCCTACCTGTGTGTAAAACAAGGAACCCTGCCATGACCTTCTGAGTCAGCAGCAGGCCATCTGACAGCTCACTGAACCAGTGAGGGGCCTCATTTGAGGAGCTGCAGTTACACAGAAAAACAATTACATCTTGTGAACTCTTGATGCACAGAATCACTTTTTTTCCACTATTTGTTCTCTATCACACAAAACTTTCAGTAAGCAACCATCATTTTAAATGCTGATGTTATCCTAAAAGTAACTGTCATACTGTAATTACTGATGATATACCTGGCTTTGAATATATGAAGGCAAGTGACAGTCATATTGCTGTTGCTTCTGAGGCAGACCTCCTGCAGGGTAAATGCAAAGGCCAACAGGTAGGCACACACTGTCACACCAAACTTCAACAGGAAACAGCCAAGAAAGTAGTTTTGGGTCTAGTCAAAAAGAACAACACATTGAGAGAGTCAGACACAAAGCACCACCTCCTGTCCTGTGAACTCAGATTACTCACCTTTATTCTGAAACATAACGGTTCCTAGCAGTAGCTAGTAGGGCAGTGAAAAAGAAAAATCCCACCACATAGAAAACAACTATACATCATGAAAGTGGAAAAGTCAGTACAGGAATTGATGAGATGAGAGAGGCTGCTGACTGACTCCAAATCCACACACAATAATAATTAATTTACAGCAAAAGAATCAATGATATTAAGCAGCTACCCCCACCTCCATACTGAAAGCAGTACAATACTGTATATTTTTCATAAAATAATAATTCAAAAGCATACAACCATTACAAACCATGAGCACAGGGCTTTTCCATTAAGTTTTTTTCCCAACACCATAATGGGTAACAGAATGGACTAAGACAGGCCTACTTGATGGTGCTGATGGCATATGACATTGCAGTGGTTAAAAATAAACAAGGTTCCAGAGGTAATATGTAATAGAACGGTATATTCTTCCAATATAGATATTATTTATAATAGTTATGTAAGGCTGAGCTAAGTGTTTACGGAAGCCTGACCTGTTTCTTGCTCAAGCAAGAATATTTTAGGCTGGGTCCCCCTTGTTTAACTTATGGGTCAACATCCTGAGTGACTTCCTCCTTAGATGGGGACTGAATATACAGTGGTGTGAAAAAGTGTTTGCCCCCTTACTGATTTCTTATCTTTTTGCATGTTTGTCACACTGTAATGTTTCAGATCGTCAAACAAATTTATATATTAGTCAAAGATAACACAAGTAAACACATCATGCAGTTTTTAAATGAAGGTTTTTATTATTAAGGGAAAACAAAATCCAAAACTATAGAGCCCTGTGTGAACAAGTGTTTGCCCCCCTGTCAAAACACTGGTTTATCGCACCTGAGTTCAATTTCTCTTGCCACACCTGTTCGCAATCAAGAAATCACTTAAATAGGACCTGCCTGACAAAGTGAAGTAGACCAAAAGATCCTCAAAAGCTAGACATCATGCCGAGATCCAAAGAAATTCAAAAACAAATGAGAAAGAGAATAATGGAGCTCTATCAGTCCGGAAAAGGTTATAAAGCCATTTCTAAAGCTTGGGGACTGCAGCGAACCACAGTGAGAGCCATTATCCACAAATGGCGAAAACATGGAACAGTGGAGAACCTTCCCAGGAGTGGCCAGCCGACCAAAATTACCCCAAGAGCGCAGCGACAACTCATCCAAGAGGTCACAAAAGACCCCACAACAACATCCAAAGAACTGCAGGCCTCACTTGCCTCAGTTAAGCTGAGTGTTCATGACTCCACCATAAGAAAGAGACTGGGCAAAAATGGTTTGCATGGCAGAGTTCCAAGACGAAAACCACTGCTGAGCAAAAAGAACATAAAGGCTCGTCTCAGTTTTGCCAGAAAACATCTTGATGATCCCCAAGACTTTTGGGATAATACTCTGTGGACAGACGAGACAAAAGTTGAACTTTTTGGAAGGTGTGTGTCCCATTATGTGTGGCGTAAAAGTAACACCGCATTTCAGAAAAAGAACATCATACCAACAGTAAAATATGGTGGTGGTAGTGGGATGGTCTGGGGCTGTTTTGCTGCTTCAGGCCCTGGAAGACTTGCTGTGATAAATGGAACCATGAATTCTGCTGTGTACCAAAATATCCTGAAGGAGAATGTCCGGCCATCCGTTTGTGACCTCAAGCTGAAGCGAACTTGGGTTCTGCAGCAGGACAATGATCCAAAGCACACCAGCAAGTCCACTTCTGAATGGCTGAAGAAAAACAAAATGAAGACTTTGGAGTGGCCTAGTCAAAGTCCTGACCTGAATCCAATTGAGATGCTGTGGCATGACCTTAAAAAGGCAGTTCATGCCCGAAAACCCTCCAATGTGGCTGACTTACAACAATTCTGCAAAGATGAGTGGGCCAAAATTCCTCCACAGCGCTGTAAAAGACTCATGGCAAGTTATCGAAAACGCTTGATTGCAGTTGTTGCTGCTAAGGGTGGCCCAACCAGTTATTAGGTTTAGGGGGCAAACACTTATTCACACAGGGCTTTGTAGTTTTGGATTTTGTTTTCCCTTAATAATAAAAACCTTCATTTAAAAACTGCATGATGTGTTTACTTGTGTTATCGTTGACTAATATTTAAATTTGTTTGATGATCTGAAACATTACAGTATGACAAACATGCAAAAAGATAAGAAATCAGTAAGGTGTGTGTGTGTGTGTGTGTGTGTGTGTGTGTGTGGAGCTGGCATGAGACTGCGTCTCTTCTCAGGCCATGGAAGGCTGTGTAAGTGCAAGCAGATAAAAGGCTTGGATAGTTGGGTTAGAGGAGAAGAAGAAGAGAGGATGACAATGCTACCGTGAAAAGTGTACCATAGACCCGGCCCCCGGGGGCCGGGGGGAACAATGACTGACTGTGGGTTGACAGAAAAGACTGACTGACGGTACCTTGTGACCAACAACAACTGACTGGACTGACTGGCGCTTTTGACAGTCTTCTTATTTAATACTTTATCTATCTCATGGCAGGAGGAGTGACTCTGGTCTCTGTTCACTACCAGATTATTTGTTTAACTACTACTCTATTCAGAATAATTGTAATATTAAATGATCATTTAAATTGGGATGATTTGTCTGAATTAATTTAGTCGGCATCACACTCTAGCCACGACAACATCACACTAGCCACAGTACTGTAGTGGGTGTGAAAAGCTGTGTGTAAGCCGAGTGCCACTTACAGACATTATACTGTAACATATGCCGTGTTGAGCTATTGTGGCAAACATGGCCATTACTGTGGCAGAGTGTGATACTTTGAATGACTACTGTATCACTGTATAGTACAGTTTAACAGTATGTATGTTTCTCTAGCAGCAATAACCCAGTAAGTAAGGCTCCGAGATCCTGTAGGTTTGACACATTTGACAGACGTGGGATCCTACCTTTCTTGGTATGGCATCTAGGTTCTTCCCTGTGGCAACTGTCATGACTGAACTGTCTGGTGGTTTCCCCAAAAGTGACACACTGTCAACACAACACAGACAGACCATTAATATAATATTGTGCACAATACAGTGGAAGACCACAGAGGTTCAGAGAGTTTTAATATTTTGTGTGTGTGTGTGTGTGTGTACCTTAACAGTGGGCAGCTGATGCAGGACAGCCAGAGGATGTCAGTAGTGTTCATTGGAGGAGGAAGCTGAGCCAGACAGGCCAAGAACTAAATACAAACATCAGAGTCACTCTGTTCTTTTTTCAGCATCATATACAGGTGCATCTCAATAAATTAGAATATCGTGGAAAAGTCCATTTATTTCAGTAATTCAACTCAAATAGTGAAACTCGTGTATTATATAAATTCAGTACACATAGACTGAAGTAGTTTAAGCCGCTGGGTCTTTTAATTGTGATGATTTTGGCCCACATTTAACAAAAACCCACCAATTCACAATCTCAATAAATTAAAATACCTCATAAGACCTATAAAAAAAACATCTTTACTGAATTGTTGACCTTCTGGAAAGTATGTTCATTTACTGTATATGTACTCAATACTTGGTAGGGGCTCCTTTTGCTTTAATTACTGCCTCAATTCAGCGTGGCATGGAGGTGATCAGTCTGTGGCACTACTGAGGTGGTATGGAAGCCCTGGTTTCTTTGACAGTGGCCTTCAGCTCATCTGCATTTTTTTGGTCTCTCATTTTCCTCTTGACAATACAATAGATTCTCTATGGGGTTCAGGTCTGGTGAGTTTGCTGGCCAGTGAGGCACACCGACACCATGGTCTTTTAACTGACTTTTGGTGCTTTTGGCAGTGTGGGCAGGTGCCAAATCCTGCTGGAAAATGAAATCAGCATCTCCAAAAATCTGGTCAGTAGAAGGAAGTATGAAGTGCTCTAAAATTTCTTGGTAAACGGGTGGAGTGACTTTGGTTTAAAAAAAAAAAAAAAAAAAGTGGACAAAA